AATGCATGAAATATCATTAAATCATTGAAAGTGATCCATGGAGCATCATAGAATTCACATTCTGAAACAAGTGAGATAGATTTTTTTTTTTTGCATAGCAAGGAGGCAAAAGCCAAGAAAAAGCACGATTACAGGGGAGGACTAGGAGAGGTAGGAAGAGTTCGCCACAACCTGGCGTTCAAAAGTTACACCTCTAACATCATCCTGCAATAATGGCACCACACCTGCGGGAGGATCAACCAACTCATACTTACCGTAGGGATAGACGAGACTGTGCTTCGAGAGCCAGTCCGCGACTCTATTCCCTTCCCGGTAGGTATGAGACAGGCTAACCAACCAATCCTGACTAATCTTTCTCCGAATGAGGCTCAACAAAGTAGCATACGGATGGATGGGATCATGTCTCTCCTGAATCAGCTGAAGAGCCAGCTGAGAATCAGTCGCCAGCTTCACAACCCGGAACCCGAGGTTCCAAACCAAATCCAGACCATAACAAATGGCCCACAGCTCTGCCAGAACGGTTGTTGCTGACCCAAGGCTAGCAACAACACCTCCCAACCACTTACCCAGGGGGTCTCGCACAACCCCTCCAGCTCCGGCGGGACCCGGATTCCCGTTGGACGCCCCATCTGTGTTAAGCATAACCCAACCCTCCAACGGTGGAGTCCACCCGATCGCCGCCGCCGTACGCACCACAGGCTTCCTTTTGTGATTCAAGAACAAGTCCGGGGACCACCAAGAATCATCCCACAGCTTGGTCTTAGTCACGATCGAATGAGTCAGAGAAGGTGCAGTAAGGGCGGCACTCTGACCTTTGAACGCCCCTGTGGTGCGATTTTTCCATAAAAGCCAAGCTGCCATGCTAAAGAAACCCGGCCAGTTGACGCCCGTACTGCTGGCTTCCTTACTCATGATGTTCTTGCGAAACCAATCTTCCTTGCCATCACTGAAAAATTCGTGCTGCTTCTGCTGGGGGACATGGCGGCACCAAAAGTACGCCGCCGGGGCGCAGTCCCGAAGAATATGGAGAACTGTCTCCGGTTGTCCCATACATCTTTGGCAGCACGGAGAATCTGCCACCTTCCTCTGAAAACGCAGCTCATTCGTGGCTAGCTTGCCCTGGAAAGCCAACCAAATAAAGCATCTGACCCGCTCTGGCACTGGGAGCCGCCATATCTCCTTCCAAATCCCATCCGTGTCCTGCTGAACCTGCTCCGTGAGGAGAGCATATGCAGACTTAGTGGAAAAACGACCATCCGCCGCCGGGGCCCTAAAAAGAGAGTCCTCCTCTTGAGAAATAGTGTCAACTGCCGTGCTCAAAATCTTGTTGCAAACGTAGGCCGGAAGGCGCCCAAAGAAAAGATCAGTACGCCAACTGCCGTCAGCCCGAACGAAGTCAGCAACCACTGCATTGTCTACATCCTCCGGCGCTTCCCCGATCACCAGCTCCTTCAAGGGAACCTGCAAAACCCAAGGATCAGACCAAAACTTAGTTTTTCTTCCATTCCTAATATTCCAAGCACAACCTTTCTTAAGAATGTCAGCAGCTTTAGAGAAGCTACGCCACGTGAAGGAACTTCCCTGAACTTTTCGCAGGACGTCAAGACCTGCTCTCTGACCCCCGTACTTTGACAGGAGAAGCTGCTGCCAGACACTCTTTTTATCCCTGAGCAGCCGCCATCCCCCCTTCGCAAGCATGGCCAGGTTAGCCTGTCGGGTTGGCCGAATTCCCACTCCCCCGTGCGCTTTAGGCACCGTCAGTCTTTCCCAAGCCACCAGATGGAACTTGGACTGATTCTCTTCATCACCCCAAATAAAATCCCTACTGATCTTGTCAATACTCCTGCAAACACCACTCGGGATAAGCTCAGTATGCATAGTATACACAGGTAACGAAGCAGCTACCGATCTGGCCACCGTAAGTCGAGCCGCGAAGGACAATCGTTTCGCCTTCCATGGCGCCATCTTCTTCTGAATGCGCAGGATAAGCGACTGATATCTCCCCTTCGTGACCCTCTCTTGTATTGCCTAGATGCCGAGATATCTTCCCAATGCTGCTTTCAACGGGATCCCCGCAAAAGCACTAAGCGCCTCCGCTTTGTTCCTTGAGATATTCGGAGAGACGTAAATGATGGATTTGCTTAAGTTCACTCGTTGGCCCGAACTGTGGCAGAAATCCTCCAAGCAATTCTTGATCACTCTAATCTGCTTCCTATCGGCCTCTGCAAAGAGCAATAAATCGTCTGCAAAAAAGAGGTGAGTTAGTGGCGGCCCGGACCTAGTAAGCCTCACCGCTTTCCACCGTCCGTCACTGACCGCCTCATCAATCTTATGAGAAAGACGCTCCATACAGAGAACAAAAAGATAAGGAGAAAGAGGGTCTCCCTGGCGGACTCCTCGGGAAGGCGTAATGGGTTGAGACAGTTCTCCGTTCCATCTGATCCTCATGGTGTTGTGTTCCACGCAGTACATGATGCAGCTAATCCAGCTACTCGGCAGGCCGACTTCCTTCAAGGTATCTCTCAGAAAGTCCCACCGCAGCATGTCATACTCCTTTTCTAGATCGATCTTAAAGACCATGCCTCCCTTCTTTCCTCTTCTTTTCCTGAAGGAGTGTAACACTTCCTGGACTACAATGATGTTGTCTGTCGTCTGCCTCCCTGGAATGAAGCTGCTCTGCCTCGGGGAAACCCATTTGCGCATCATGGGCTTCAATCTCGAGGTCATGGCTTTGGTGATACTTTTGAGGCAGACGTTGTTGAGAGAGATGGGACGGAGTTGAGACACCCTCTCCGGCGAATCCACTTTCGGAATAAGAATCAGAGTGGACTCCGTCACCGCCTCCGGCAGCGTACCTGTCATAAAAAAAGACAAAGCCATATCGGAGAGAGACTTCCCAACCACTTGCCAGAACTGCTGGTAGAACACCGCCTGAAAGCCATCCGGGCCCAGGGCCTGAAAAGGCTTCATGTCAAAAATCGCCTTGTGAATGTCCTGTATGACAAAAGGTCTGAACAGAGCTGCCGCCTCTGTGTGACTCAAGCGAGGAAAAATGCCCTTGGGCATCCTATCCTCGTACAAGGAGCTCTCCTGCAGGTACATATTAGTGAAAAAATTAAAGACAAGAAGAGCAAGAGACTGAGAATCTGTCACCCAGGTGTCATTGTCGTCCAGAAGGGTCTCGATCTTATTCAGCCGTCGCCGGATATTAACCTGTTGATGGAAGTAAGCAGTATTCCTCTCCCCAAATTTAACCCAATTGTCCCTTGACCGCTGAAACCAAATCAATTCCTCCTGTTCGAGCACTTTGTCCAACTCTCCCGCCAGCTTGGAGTGTAGTTTAGCCAGCCCAGGAGCGAAACCATCGGCCAGCCTGATTTCAATACCCTTGATTCTTGCCAGAAGCCTTCTTTTCCGCTGCTTCACATCCCCAAAAACCTCCACATTCCACTGCCCAAGCTGCCCAGCCAGCGATTGGAGCGCGGCCGGAAGAGAAGCATTCCCGTCCCAGGCATCCGTAATCAGCTTCGGAAGGGTATTATTCGTCATCCACGCCGCTTCAAACCTGAATTGCTTTGAAGAATGGGGCTGGCTCCGCTGCAGGTCCACGCTGGTGAGAATAGGATTGTGGTCCGACTGATGGCGCGGGAGATGGATTACCGTCGTGTTAGGAATGGTCGTATTCCAGCTTAAGTTGCATAGACTCCTGTCCAACCGACTTGCCCTGTAAGACTGCCCCTGATCTCCTCTGGACCAGGTAAACTTTGGTCCCGAATACCCAAGATCCACCAACTCTGCTGAGTTAATTCTCTCCATGAAGAGCTGGCACCGCCTCAGAGTGTTTCCCGCAGGCAAACCCAACTTCTCCTCTGGATTGCTAATGGCATTGAAATCCCCTGTGAGCAGCCAGGGAATTTCGATGTATTTGCTTTCAGACAGCAGACTCTGCCAGAGAACCCGTTGCTCACGTTGCCGAGGGGAGGCATAGACTGCAGATAGCATCCACGGCGGGTCGTTGCCTCTAGTCACATGGAGTGTTAAGTGTTGAGAGCAGGCTGCAAAGGGCTGAACCGAGAAAACTCCCCCATCCCAAAAGACCCACACCCCACCTGCTCGCCCTTCCGCCTCCACCCTGCACGAGTTGGGGAAGCCCAATTTATCGCACACTTTGTTGGCCGACTCCCCGCTCATTTGAGGTTCCAACAAGACTACAAAATCAGGGCGATGATTCTGAATTGCCAACTTCAGAGCTCGATAGAAAGCTCTGCTCCCAGCTCCTCCGACATTCCACGAAAACACTCGCAAATTGTAACTCATCGACATAGGTAATAAAGAGGGAAGGATGAGGGAACAGGGAAGATCGCTGTGCAAGACGAAGAGGAGAACCTCCGCCTAAGCTCCGGCGCCGTCGATCGGCCTAGCATCGTCTGCGGGGTGGCCACTCTGACTTGCCGACTCACTTTCCCCTTCTCTATTCACCGGCTGTTTTGCCGCTTCTGTCCAAGCATTGATCTCCTGCAAAGTCAACGTCGCTAACCGACTCTTAGATTTTGGTTTTCTTTCTTTCACCGGACTCCAGATCTGCAGAGGCCTCATAGAACTTAGTTTTGTAGGCGATCTCTTCTGTTCCGTCTTCTTGCTCTTACTCCGTTTCGTTCTCGAAGTCAGCGACGGAGAGGAAGACGCAATCGGATCCTTGTTCTCTTGGTCCTGGGAATTGCCGACAATGATTTGCATCACTGTCCCATTTGGGCCAGTGATCGTCCGTAGCTTAGGAGGATGAGGAAAAGTGGAGCTAGCAGGCCTATTTCTATCCGCTGGGCCGGGGCCCGAACTCAACGTATCCGGCCCAACTTGCTGGGATAGAGGCGGCTCAGACGGCCCAGCAGCCAGCACCTCACTCCCACCCGAACTGGATCCCCTCTTGCTGGACCCGTTCTGCTCCTTCGAATTGGGTCCTGGCCCGAGGAGCCCCTTCCCCTTCCCTGGGTTGTTACCGTTCACAACCCCCTTTCCTTTCTTAACCTCTTCCCTTCTCTTGTTCTCGAACCCCCCTTCCTTTCTTGGCTTGTACCCTGCTGTTGAGAATTCCCGTTGGGCAACGCCACAAGCGGAGTCGATTGAGCCCCTTCCTTAGCCTTTGCCCCGCGGAGTCCATTTTTGGCATTCGATTTCAGAAGCTGATTTCCTGCATCCTGATCATTCTTTCCTTTTCTCTGGTCCTCCCTGTAACTTCGCCGGGTTTTCCTCGTCACTAACATCCACGGGCCGAAACCCGGGTTGGTATCCTCCGGTGGACTCGCCGGCGGTGTCCCACTGGTGATGAGCAGTTGCGCCGGCACTACAGCAGGGCAGGTTGTCGGACACGTCTCGGCACTGTGGCCAATTCTTCCACACTCAAAGCAGACCTCAGGGAGGTTCTCGTATTCAACCTTTTGCCACTCATCATCAAGCCAAATCCTGGGAACCAACGCCTTCGAGATATCGACTTCCACCGCCAGCCGCGCAAACTTCGCCCGCTCTTGATTCAGAGTATGGTAATCCAGTTTGATAGTCCGTCCAATAAGGTTTCCCAACGTCGTAAGCACCTCCCTATGGTAAAAATGGATTTTCAGAGCGGGGAGCTGAACCCAGACGATCATCGTCTTCGGAAGAGGGTCGGAGGCCTTAAACTTCGGTGACCACTGTTGAACAACCATGTAATGATCGAGAATAACCCATGGTCCATCTGTCAAAGCCCGGAAATAGTCTTGTTCATTGTCCAATCTGACCAGAAAACAATCATGGTCTAAATCTTTAACCTCCATCGATCCGGCCGGACGCCATAAACTCCTGAGTCGATTGCACAACGAGATAAAACCAATTTTCAAACCCAGCACCCGAATCACCAGCGTTTTTTCCCAGGGGGCACATAGCCTAGCTTTAAAATCCGCCGAGATTGTAAGCGCTGGTTCCCCATTCTTCTCGCTGGTCACCAGATCATGTTCACCGACCGGAGTCCAACTGTGCCCTTGCTTCAATGGTGCCGCCTGAAACGATGTCCCCGCAACCACCTTAGCATACGAGAAGGGTTGACCAGTCCCCAGTCCCGCCGGAGATCCCGCCATCGGCGGCTGCACCGAACGTTCCTGCACAAGCAAACCAGATGAATCAATAGCCATGTCAGCGGACCTGGTGGCTTCGGCCACCGAAAAATCCAATTGATTAGAATCCGTTAACGCTGAGTCTCTAGAAAAGTCAGGGGGTCGATCCGAAGGAAGAAGGATCGGCGCCGGAGCCGAGACCCCGTCAAAATCCGCCATCGATCAGAGCGTTTTTTCGGATTGGCTAGATATTTTTCACCTAGAGGTGGAGTTATTTGTATCTGAGAAAAGATTAAACTTCGACATTAAACTTCGACAAAACTTCGTCTCCCTAATGGATGATGAATGCACCACCATCGATGATGAATGCATCTACATTAAACTTCGACAAAACTTCGTCTCCCTAATGGATGTGAACGAATTAATTGATGGAAACCATTATTGCAAGAAAAGGCCAAAATTGCGGCTAAAGGTCTATAAATCCCTGTCCACTTGAGGGTCTAGTCTCGAGCCTTCAACTCGTGTCGTCTAAGGTGTTTGGTATTTGTGTTGCTGTTGTGTTCTTGCTTAACCTTAGCATCTATTTATAATACAATGGAAAAAGGGGTTTTTGGGGTTTTTCCTTCATAACTATATCAAAAAGCTTCTTTGTTTGACTTGAACTCGAATTTCGTTACTTGGGGATGAAGAAAGAAGTTTTTAGGAGATAAATCTACAAGAATATTTTTCAACGATCAATATTTAAATTCTTGATGTAATTGTTTAGTCATTGATACCATCATATTTAATTATCGATTAAAATCTTTTACTCCCAAAAAAATCGAGAATGTTCGTCATAGTTAATTTTGACTTGTTATATAAAATAATGATAGGATCATTAAAGTAAGGTAAAAAATCACTACTTAGTTTATTTAAACCAAAATTATTTTTGGCCATTTCTGGCTTTTCCCACTCTCTGTATTGTGGCTCTAGACCCAAATCACTTTATTTTTACAGATTTTTCACTTTTCCCACTTACCATTGTGAGTGGTATAAAACACAATCAAGGTCTAATACAAATACATTGATAAAAATAGTTACAAAATCCATTGAAAATATAACACAAGTACTAAGAATGAATCGATAATAAGTGATCGGTGCCAATAAGGAGCAAGTAATATTACTAGTGGCAGAATGTGATGACGTCGAACCAAAACTAATTTCTTTTTATACACGTCTCTAGTGACCGGTGCCAATGCACTCCTTACCCATATCTATCATTTCAAATTTCTAAAGACCAAAACAAGTAACACCTTGTTTTGTTGCTTGTTTAACACATAACATCAATACTCAGTACCAAAACTGGATGGTTAAACATCGCACTAGTTTTACGATTATTTCCCTAACATAAAAATAATATTACTAAATTGTCATTTATTTAATCTTCTTTATGATTTATTTAATCAATTTAAATTCAACAAAACTTGCTAATCCCCATCAGGTCCCTGGTCGCCGCCTCTTGAAAGTCCCTTCACCGGTGTCCTTCTCCAACTGAACATTGTCGTCATTCCTCCTCCCTAGTCGTCCCTCTCCAAAAAAACATGGGTGAATAATTAGGATGATGAAAAGGTATTAATTGGGTGGATGAAGGATGATGAATCGACTAGGATGTAAATAATGGTGGTGGTGTTCATAGCTCGAATTGTTCTGGTATTAATTGGGTGGATGAAGGATGATGAACGGGTGAGAATGCAAAGAGATTGAGTTTAATTTATCATGAGAAGCAGAAGAACTGGAGGAGAATACAGATATGTGATTGTCCTTCGTTAAATTCCTTCTTTCTATTCTTTCACATCCCGATGGATTCCAGACCGTCGAAGCCATCATCAGACGCCTCTGACGTTCTGCCCATATGGTAAGTCTTCGGAGCTTGCTCTCTTTTTTCGTCATTTGGCTGTAGAATTCGTCTCCTAAAAGTTCGGACGATAAAAACTGAAAGGGTAAATATGTGATTTTAAATTTTAAGCTAGGGCGATTATATAAAATTAAGGCGATAATTAACAATCTCCTATCAAAATGGCAATAATGACATAATCTATCATATAATAACAAACCATTTTATCCTCTGAGCCATCTGATGGCTGGCAAACCCCCGGGCCTTGTGTCGAGTTCCACAAGACCCCCTATTGCCTCGTCCTCGTCGGCTGGAAAGGCGTGCAGGACTAGGAAACCCAACATCAGAAGAAGCGACCTAGGGCAGTCGACCTGACTAAAGATGCACAGCTGGATGACGAGATGATAGATGATAGTGCTACAATGAAACTCAAACCAAAGCTGATACACCAAAGGGAGCTTGGACCAATGGAACGACGAAGCTTTTCCAAGGCAAAGATGAAGGTGACGGCTGGTACATAGCTGAATTTGATACAGAGGATGTTGAAATGGCCAATAATGAGGAATATGACTATATTGTTGAGGAAGATGATCCGAGATGCCCAACCATCCTTTATACGGACAAAGAAAAGCTTGACTGGATAAGAAAGTGGCGATCGACTCTAATAGTCAAGGGTCTGGGACGTGATATCCCGTCCATTGCACTATCCAACAGGTTGTGGTCGTTATGGGCACAAAGAGGAGCAATAAAAATTTCCGACATGTCTAATGGATGCTATCTGGTGAGATTCAAAGTAAAGGAGGATTATGAGTATGCAGTGTCAGGGGGAAATGGATGATCGGTGACACGTACCTCACTGCGATACGCTGGTATAAGGATTTTAATCCATGGAAATTTAATGTCAACTCAGCCATGGTAATTGGTATGGGCTCAGCTCCCAGAGTTACAGTGGAATTTTTTAATAAGGAAGCAATCACTCGTATAGCTCAACGGATTGGGAGACCAATCAGAGTAGACCATGCCACAATAATGCGGGCGAGGATCATATACACAAGGGTTTGTGTAGAAGCAGACCTAACAAAACCTCTTCTCTCTCAGTACAAGATTTGACGGCATAACGTATATAGTGGGTTATGAGGGGCTTCATAGGTTGTGCGGCAAATGTGGATGTTATGACTTCCATAGTGATGAATGTCCAAATAAAACCCAAGAGGAGCAGAAACCGGAAAACAGCACAAACAAGATGGGAAAGGATCCGAAAACTACTGAACTACCCTCTAGTCAAATCTATGGGGACTAAATGGTGGTGAAGAAGAAGGTATGGAGACAGAGTAATAAGCTGGCTGCGAATGAGAAGAGAGGGGGAATGGAACAGGGAAGACGAGGGACATATGGTAACCGATTTAATGTGCTGCATGCTTAGGAGGAGGGGGACAATGCTCAGCTAGCTCAGCATGAGCCTATCACCCAGCAGTGCCAATAGAGAAATAAAAAGAGTGAGGAAACAAAGAAGAATGTTGTAGAGGAAGGGAGAAATGCCCAGGGGAAGAATGAAAATGCTACCAAGATGCCACGGAAGACACAAGTCATGAAGAACACAAATGATGAGAGTAGCAGGAAGAAAGGTCAGACGACCCCTACAAGTCAGAAGAAGATGTCGGATGTGACTCTGGTAGGTATGGTGAAGGTTTCTTTCGTGTAATAAATAACAATAATAAGGGACCAAGCTTTAGAGAAGAGGATTAGTGGGATGCAGCCTGGAAGAGGAGGTCCAGTAATATCCCACCTCTTCTTTGCCTACGACAACATTTTCTTTGGAAGAGCTACTGTGGAGGAAAGTTTATGTCTGAAGAAAATCCCGAAGGACTATAAAGTAGAATCGGGCCAGATGATTGATTTCCAGAAGTCTGAAGTCTCTTTCAGCAAAAATATCAAAACCCATCACAAGTTGGAGATTGGTGGTGTGTTAAACATGAAAACGGTGAATAAACTGGACAAATACCTGGGATTAGCAACAGAAGCAGGGAGGTCGGAAAAAAGATCTTCGAGGGGATAATGGATAGACTACGGAAGAAGTTAAAAGGTTGGAAAGAGAGGACTATGTCAACTGCGGCTTGAGAGACTTTGAATAAGTCAGTAGCACAATCCCAAGTGACATATCTCATGTCAGTGTTCAGAATCCCCGAAGGAATTATTGATGAGGCACACAAGCTAATTAATAATTTTTGGTGGGGGTAGAAAGGAACAGAGAGAATGACTCATTGGCTAAGGAGAGAGGAGCTGGAGATCCCTAAGGAGAATGGTGGGTTGGGGTTTATGCAGTTTCAACACAACGTTGCTGACCAACCAACTATGGAACCTTCACTAGAGACCGAGGTCCTTAATAGCCAAGATCATGACGGCAAAGTATCACAAACACTCGACTGTATTGGAAGCTGAACTTGGATATATGACAAGTTTCATTTGGAGGAGTCTACTAAGTGCCAAAGAATTCCTTAGCAGTGGTATTCGATGGAGGATTGGGAATGGTGATAGTGTTCAAATATGAGGTGACCGATGGGTACCCACGACCCTGGAAGGTTATATGTCTCCGCCCCATGTGGGCTGCCATCTAACACAAGGGTTCGGGAGCTTATTGATCCTGATTCAGGACAATGGGATTCTACTTTTCTTGCCGCATGCTTGGAAAAAAATGGAGGAAGCGGTGAAAAGTATCCCATTACGTGACTTCATGGAACAAGACATCCAGATTTGGGCACCCAGTAGAAATGACGACTTTGTTGTGAAGGATGCTTATCGTATCTATGTCGAACAAGAAAATGCACGTCAAGGAATAGTTGTGCCGGATGCAACCCCCTGTATGTAGGGATGTCAATCCAACCCGTAACCATGGGTACCCTACCCGACCGTAACCGGTCAACGAGGGTAATTACCCGCTTTGAAGGGTTAAGGGGCAGGTACGGGTAATCCCTGGTTTCAAAATAAAGGGTAGGCTACGGGTATGGTAATCGATAGTACCCTCCCGGTTATATCCGCCCCGCTAACAAAAGGGTCAATTTCCCTTGAGAAATTTAGTTTAGCTTGATAAATTGAGTTTAGCTACCATTATTGATGATGAAGATGTAGACGATTATTATCTTTGTGTGCAATGTAGAAGCAAGAACAATTATTATGTGTTTGCTGTTTTTATTTGTCTGGATTGTTGAAGCTAGAACAGTTACAAGTATTGAGAATTTTTAATGGACAACCGTATGTATGTGCATATATGTGTATAAGTTCATAGTTTAGGATTCGTACCCATGGTTAGCCGAATACCTGTGGTTACCCGGTGGGTAGGGTATGGTTATAATTTTCATACCTGGTGGTTATTTGGTCGGGTATTTTAGAAGGCTCTACCCGGCGGGTTAGGAGTTGGTATAGGGTAAACCCACACCCGACCCTACCCATTGCCATCCCTACCTGTATGGAAGAAACTATGGAAGCAGAATGTTCCCCCGAAAGTTAGGCATTTCCTCGGGAGATTTGGTAAGGATTCACTCCCCGCCAGTGTGGAAGTTAATGCTCAAAATCCCAAATGGAGTGATAGAGCAAGGGTTGGTGTTGTGGCGCGAGACTCAGCAGGTCCATTTCTTTTTGCTGTAGCAAAGCAGGTTACATGCATATGGGATCCAGAGGATGCGGAAGCCTTGGCGGTTGAGCTCGGTGTGCAGACGGTGGTTCAACTTCATCTAATGAACCCGATTTTGGAGAAAGACTGCTTGAACCTTGTGGCAGATATTACCCAGGCCGAAAGAATCAGAATTGAAAAGGAAATTGTCTGGAGAAACATACGCCGATTGCTCGAACAGTTGGTAGAGACTTCATGGCAGCATGCACCAAGAGAAGCCAACGTGGCGGTCCATACCATGGCGCACGTGAAAACAATATGGAATGAAAGGTAGGTCTGGGTAGATAGGACCTCGATCATCCTATTAGATCGCTAAAGTTGGACAATGTAACCTCTCTTGCTGATTAATGAAAATGCTCCAGGTTCCCTGTAAAAAAATAACAAACCCTTTCATAACTATCTTAAGTCAATATAGTGATCCTTAAATTTAAACAAATACATGTGTGCTTAATTAGGGTTAGTGTAGGCAAATGAAATTAAGTTCTTAAAGTTCAACATTTCTAATTGATTGTTTAGATTAGGAGTTTTGGGCTACAAAGACATGTTTAGAGTAATGTTTTAGAGAGTTTTAAATATTTCTAAAAATTCTAATGAAGGTTGCCAACATAAGCCTATACATTATTTTTCAGCTTGGCCTCTTGAATTTTATGAACAAAAGGACTTGATTGCGCCATGAAGGTGTTTGTGGGTGATCTAAAACACAATCAAAGTCTAAAACAAGCACATTGATCAAATAATTAAAAAATTCATAGAAAATATAACAAAAACTACTATGAATGCATCGATAGTAAGTGAAATGTCTCAAATATAGGAGGTTGAGAAAACTATAATTTGAGTTATCACAACCTAATATAAATTAGCATAAACTAGTGAAACTATGTTAAGTGCATCGCGCGTTGTTTTGCATAAGTTTTAGTTGTTGAGTTCTTAATAGTTGTAGGATTGATTTTATTAAAAAAAATATATGAATCGAATTCCGCTAGACTCACTTTCAAAATATTTTTTTCTCTTAAGTTCTCATTATTAATCTCTGAATTCTTATACTCAACACTATTTCTTTTTCTTTTCCTCTCTTGATCTTATTGTAAATGATCTTTGACACATTGTTTCCTATTTTTTCTAGTCTCAATATTAATATATGTTATTTATACTGAGTCATACATATTTTGTATTGGTGAAGGTTACGTCAATAAACTTCAACGATGCACTCCTTACCCCCTACATATCACGCTACCAATGACACTTTTTTTGTAGGAAGACAGACGCCAATGGCGTCCTAACTTAATTTAACGTTCATGGGTGATCCCCACTACATCAAAAGAAAGCCAGTGGCTAAGTCCCAGATCAAAAATATCAAAACGATGGGCTCCAAAATGAAGGTCACGACCTTTGTGAGCTATAAAGTCAGCAGCGTTGTTACACCCTCTATAGACATGGGAAATGTGTACATCCCAATCCATAGCCAGAAGCCTATTGGTCTCGAGTGTGAGAAGACCATGCTTGTGGGTGACATTGTCGTTGTGCTTGATGATGTTAATCGTAGTAGTAGAATCAATGCAGAGGTTCACCTTCCTAAATCCCATGCCATTCTGCAGCTTTTAATTATGCTCCTGTGATACCAATGACACTTTCCTCACCCATATCTATCATTTCAAAAACTAGAGACCAAAACAAGTAACACTTTGTTTTGTTGCTTGGTTTAACACATAACAAAAATCTTCAATACCAAAATGGCAATAATAATAACATAACAGTTAGATTCCGGTAAGGAAAACCATATTCTAATTGTCGAGACAGGTGACAGACACCGATGTTTGATCGCCAGATTCCAATGGCTAGTATGGTGGCGGAAAATCTATACCAATAATCGCCCATACGGAAGACTTATGAATCAATACTAGTGAAATCGCATAATCATATACTAAAACTTGACAAATGCTTACCAGCGATAATCATCAACAATTTGTAGCAAAAACATTTCTAGTGCAAACCATAATTTTGTAGCATACATACTCCTGACAAACAAAAATTATCAATACCATAAATTGACAAATGGATACCAGAAATAATGGCTAAATTACACGTTTGGTCACTCAAATTATACAAATCTTTCACGTTTGCCACCCGAATTACTTTTCTTTCTTATTCGCCACTAACTTTACGAATCTTTTCACGGTTGGTCACCGGCCGTTACACTCCGTTAAGTTTGTCTTACGTGGCAGTCAACTATAAAGTTTGACCGTTAACTAGGTGACGTGGAAATTAAAAAAAAAAAAATTCTTTCCACCTCATCATTGCACTTATTTTGTCTATATAATTTATCATATTAATAATTTAATAAATTTTATTAAATTTAATAAAATAAGCAAGTAATAATAATACGGCTTTGGCTTTGGATTTTATTAAATTTATCATATTAATAATTTATTGAATTTTATTAAATTAAAATTAAAATAAGCAAGTAATAATAATAATACGGCTTACCACTACTGCTACTGCCCTTCCCTTTCTTCATCCTCTTCCTGCTCGTATTCACCGCAGCAGCAGCCATCAGCGTGTCCCCTTCGCTCGCTTCCTCCTCCTCCTCGTAGTCCTCGTCAAACGACAGCTGCCCTCCTCCACCGGCAGCCTTATTCTTCTTCCCCCCGGCGCTGGCGGAGGCGGTTCCCTCGGCTTCGGCCCAAAGCATCCGTTGCATCCTGGCTGCGAATATGGCTTGCAGCTCGGTAAGAAAGGGAAGGGTAGATGCAAATCCAAATCCGTATTATTATTACTTGCTTATTTTATTAAATTTAAAAAAATTTAATAAATTATTAATATGATAATTTAGATTAGATAGATCGACGATCCACCAGAGATTAGATAGATCGATCATGGCGGAGGCGGTCATCATGATCAGCAGTAGTGATATTGAGCTGATCGAAGCTCAGGGCCGCATTTGGAGCTATTCCTGCAGCTTCATCATCAACAAGTGTCTGAAATGTGCGATCCAGCTGGGAATACCCGACGTCATCCACCGTCACTCCCCGGGGCCCACCTCCCTTCCGGCCCTGGCCTCCGCCCTCCACCTCCCGGCATCCAAGCACGACGCCCTCCGCCGCCTCATGCGACTCCTCGTCCACGCCGCCTTCTTCAAACTCCAAGAAGAAGAGGCCGATGATCACTACTACTACTCTCTCACCCCTGCCTCCGAGCACCTCCTCCTCCCCGACGACCGTGCGGAGGCGGAAGTATTGAAGGCACCGCCGGTCCATCTGTTCCTCGGGACCGACCACGGCGACGACGAGCTCGGCATCTGGAGGTCTCTGAGCACGTGGTTCCGGCGCAGCGACGGGGCGGCCCCGGTGGAGGCTGTCCTGGGCATGTCCTTCTGGGATGCAATGGCGAGGGAGCCGAGCTTGATGCGGACATTCTACGGCGCCATGTCCGCATCAAATTTATCATATTAATAAATTTATTATTATTACTTGCTTATTTTAATTTTAATTTAATAAAATTCAATAAATTATTAATATGATAAATTTAATAAAATCCAAAGCCAAAGCCGTATTATTATTACTTGCTTATTTTATTAAATTTAATAAAATTTATTAAATTATTAATATGATAAATTATATAGACAAAATAAGTGCAATGATGAGGTGGAAAGAAAATTTTATTTTTTTTAATTTCCACGTCACCTAGTTAACGGTCAAACTTTATAGTTGACTGCCACGTAGGACAAACTTAACGGAGTGTAACGGCCGGTGACCAACCGTGAAAAGATTCGTAAAGTTAGTGGCGAATAAGAAAGAAAAGTAATTCGGGTGGCAAACGTGAAAGATTTGTATAATTTGAGTGACCAAACGTGTAATTTAGCCCAGAAATAATCTAATGGATATCAAAATCTTGATATTGACAAATTATATCACAAACGGTATAATGAATACCGAAAATAACCTAATGCATATTAGGAACTTGCCGGAATTCAAAAAACCAGACTCCGATAACGATGGCTAGATTCCAATCATTGCATACATGTAATTCCTGCTATAATTTTTTTCCTCAAATACCCCTATCATCAAATATGCAGCACTATCTTCACCTACATAAAATGATTTAAGTGTAATTAAGCACCATAAAAGTAATTGTTACCACTTCCTGTAGCTTTGAAAGAACCTCAAACATAAAAATAAAACTCCCACATCTTTCCATGCCTTTTCAAAATCATAAGTAAAAAAACACATAATTACCAAAACAATATGTAACTTTTTCCTCCCATCATCATTCATTATTGACTGCACCGCCGATATTAACATACATCAAATCTAACCACATCATATGACCATAAAAATATTCTACACGAATAGCCCCTGACATGCACAAAAACACATATATCTAACATTTTACTCCATGAACAGAGAATTTTAAAGAATTGAGCTTTCGAAGGTGGGGTTGCGTGGTGGTATGGTGAAGTTTTCCTCTCTCTCTTTTTTTTACTGTGGAACGTTGCAGAGAGAGAGAGAGCAATGGGCAATGTGGGTTAGGGCCTAGGGGGGAAGGTTTCGTCCTTTTCTTCCTTGTTTATTTAATGCTTGTCAGCTTTCCCCTTCCCTTCTTGCCTTCCATCCTTCCTTCTTCACACCAAAATCCCACACTCTTCCTCTCTGCTTTCTCACACGCAATGCCCAATAGCAATACGAGAGAAGCAGAAGAATAGAGATTTCCCTTCCTTCCTTCCCTCCCTTCTCATCTTTCTGTCTTTCTCATTGCTTTTTTTCCCCCCCATCACTTCCACACTCCCCACTCATTCACTCACTCAACAAAAGCTCTGCCCTGCTATTCTCTTTCTCCTCCATCCCCCTTCCCCCACATTCTCCCAATCCCTCGCCTCATTCCAGATTTGGAGAAGTGGGTTTTTCTGGGTTTTCCCTCTTCTCCTCGATTCACTTCAAAACAATGGAGGACGACAACACCAAGGAGAAGAAGAATCTGGAAGATCAGGTCCGCCTGCCGCCGCCACCGCCCGCCGCCCTGCTGCTCGGCAATGCCGCATCCGACGCCGCCGATAACCAAATCAACACCGATTCGCCGGCCAACTCCCGGAAGCAAGGCGGCCTAATCACCATGCCATTTATTATAGGTACACATTTCTACAAACAAAAACACAAAAAGGGCCGGCCCCATTGACATTCAATGCTCCTTTCCTTTCCCCCCTCCCTTTTCTGTGTATAGATATATGCTCTGATGAACTGTCAAAAAAACTCAGGTGCCTGCTGTGCCCTCTGAACTTTCCCTTTCCGCCATGTCACATGGGGGGTTTTCTTGATCGATCCTAATCAATTTCGATCGATTCAATTGCAGCAAACGAGGCGTTCGAGAAGGTGGCCAGCTACGGGCTAGCACCCAACATGATAATGTATCTGATGAAGGATTACAAGATGGGAGTGGCGAAAGGGACAAACATTCTCTTCCTCTGGTCAGCTGCCACGAACTTCACTCCCCTTTTCGGCGCTTTCATGTCCGACTCTTTCCTGGGGCGCTTCCTCACCATCGGCCTTGCCTCCCTCTCCAGCCTCCTGGTCAGTGATTAGTCAACTTGATTGCGTTTTTTCCCAACTCAGCCACACTCCTTTTTTTTTTTCTTCCCGTTTTTTAAACTAATAATTAACTTTGGTGCTAATTAGGGTAGTATTATATTTGGGCTAATCTTGCTTTGAGTGATGATTAAGATGGTGATATTTGGTACACTAGAGCTAGTAGCTACTGGTTTAGCTATAGCTAGCTTGCAGGATGTCAGGTGTTTTTTATTAGTTTAATGATTGATTAAGGAAAGCCCATCTCGGGATTTGTGTTCTAATCAATTATAATATGCAAAACATATGTAGTTGGACTGTCCCTATTACGATTTTTATGAATGAATCTAGTTATGAGATGGTCTATGAAAGCATCGTTACTGTTTGAATGCTGACTAACTGGCCGGCTGACATTTTAGTATTGTTTTTTTTTTTTTTTTTTTAACTTCGATGAATATGGACCCATGGTTGGTAAAATATATTTTACTTTTGAGTAAAATAAGGATTAGTAAATAGATTATAGATGAGTGGTCGTTGAGGATCCGAGGACATGGTGAAATGGGGGATAAATTATAGGAATTCGAAGGTCCTGTCGTTGTTTTTTATTTCATAATAATTTCAGTGGTAGTGACTCCCATGTTTTTATTTCATTATTATTGTTTGTTTGCTCTTATTATTGGAAAGTAGTCCTTGCTTGATTGCACCATTGTCTTTTAGAATCCTTCCCAGACACCCCGTTACAAAGATTTCTTGTCAAATGAGTGGGTGACACTTCCTTCTTCGTGTGGGTGGTAAATATTGAGGGAATTTACTGTAGTATTTTTAACATTTACAGTAGGTTTGGTATCGGTGAGAATTGAATTGTTGCATTGTGAACGATATAGGAAATTTATTGTAGTATTTAAATAAATTAGATTAGTTTTGAGTAAGATATCAATCTTACCCTTTACTAATCTAAAAAAAAGTAACAAGTACAAAATATTAGAATATAGTGGGAACAAAATTAAACACAACAATTTCATCCAAATTATCTCAACAAACTAATCTAAAATGTGAGATTTAACTATTTATTATTTTGAATGATAATTTGTGTGCAAACAATATATTTATTGTTTAAACAGAGCATTAAAAAAAAGATACATTATAAACAAAATACAAACATTGTAACAATCTGAACTATCTTTTGTTGTTGAAGAGAGTGGGCCGGTTGAAACTTGAAACAGGGGAAAAAGTAGCTTCTATCTTTTGTTTTATTGGGAAAAAAATTCATTTTTCTTCCAAACCATATGAGATATGAAAAGGAGATGTGTGTGTAAAAGGTTATTGTTAGTGGGGGTCATTTTCAAACTTTTTCAGTCTCTCTTTTGGATACGTTTACAAAAGTCGTCTGCCCACATCGATGGTCTGGAGTCTGGACCCATCTGTCGAAAATAATTAATAACAGGATTACAACTACAAAACAAATAGATTTACTGTTTCTGTTTTCTGCTTATTTGCTTGAGTCCAGTCAAACCCCTTTCTGTTTTGACAAGTTACTTGTTTGGGCTTTGGTGTCTGTTCTTGGCTAAAATGCTTTGATACTTCACATTTGATTGGTATTTTTCTTTAATTTGTTACCTTACAATTTGGTGCCTTATTAGTGTGATGCTTTGGAGGAACGGTTTCTCTCTTTATAGGTTCAGTTGAAGGCTCTACCTATTAGAGGAAGTTTTCCTTTTATAAGTTACCCTATGAAACAAAGTTTAGGAAGGAGATTAAGTTTTCCAATCATTCTCATTGGTTGTCCAACAATTCCTTTAATCAAGGTATTCTGCAAATACTAAACTATGTTTTGATATTTCTATCCAACATGTCACTCTTAGTAGACATATTTGGATATAATTAGGGTCAAGATTCATATTTATGAACATGCATAATGCATAGAATGACACAGGTTGTTTAGATGAGATAATTCATGTTATCTTGACTGGGAATGATAAACGATATTATTTTGATCATTAGAGCTACGTAACACGTATGTAATGTTATCATTAGGAAAGTGTGAAAACTCAATCCGACAAGGTCGAAATATTCTAGGCATGCATTGTAAAGGTGAACTTTTACCCTAATCTTCTTGGAATATCTTATTTTTTTCAATTAATTTATCTGCTTGTAATATTTTAAAGATGAGAGAAAAAAAGGGGAAAACACCCATGAGAGTGGATCACATGCACCTATCAGGGAGGAATATTATGTTCCCTCTCACATCCCCTGCATCTAGCAAGAGAGACATTTTAACACCAAAGGATTATGACCAATGCATTTGGGCATTCAATAATTATTATCAATCCATCCATCCCACAAGCTTGTTATATACAACACAGGGGAAAGTTGCACTTTAGAGGCTGGCTGGACCACCTTTTGAGTTGTGGTGGTGGATGGAGTTGGTGAATAGTCAAGATTGTGTGCTGTGCTGTCTTTCCTTTCTTCCCTCCTGACCCCATCTTCCTTTGTTTGGACCCATAACCCCAAACTTGAATGTGCGTTGGTTTTTCTTTCACCTCTCTCCTCTCCCACGACTCCCCAACAGCATATATAACAATTTTGGAAATGTGTTATGGTATGGTAAATGAATTGTGTGATAAAAATATACTGTGTTTGTTCCTGATATACGATCCGACCGATCAATTAATAGTTATGATATCATAAATATGAATTATTAGTGAGTACTTAGTAAAAGAGATTTGGAGTTGGATAATTTACAAAGTAAAAGGTTGATAGTATTTCTGGTTGGGTTCATAGAAGGGATTGACTTGCGAGTTATCATAAAGTTTGTTTTCATACTCTCAACTAGGGTACTGAATTTTAAAGTGAAGAAGATTGACAAGGTAAACACAAAACAGAAAATTGATGAGGAAGAAAGAGAAAAATGTGAACATAGGCATCTTTGACCTTTACATTTTCACTTTGACCTTTCCTTTCCCTCACCTTTGACTGAATGTTATTTAGAACTTGAGACCAACGGCTAACAGATATTATTATTGGTTTGGTTCACTAGTAACTGACCAATTATGTTGTAGGTATGATGTTGGGCATCCAAGATTAACCTAACTTTAGAAAGGAATTCAGATTGGAAGAGAAAAGAGTTGGGAATAAATAGTTAATTTAGAATTAGGGATTAGAGTCTTATATGAGTATATAAAAGAGAGAATTTTGTTGACATTTTGATAGATTTTTCATTCGCTCATTACCTCACGATGACCTAAAGTACATTATATAGATCCTAACCCAATCGACTAATCCCAGTAAAATACTAAATTACCCTTGAGCCCTTACTTGTTCCTTCAACTTGTCACCCCTATCTACGAGCAGCTATCTTTCCATGCATGTATACAATAACCCATTTATGCTTTTGCTATTGTCATTTTAATTTAACTTGGTAGCCAAACCTCATCAATGCAGGGAACAATCTTACTGTGGCTAACAGCAATGATTCCTCAAGCAAAGCCACCACAGTGCCCCACAACAGCAACCCTTTCACTCTGCAGCACGACTCCAACAGCAGGCCAACTCACTCTTCTCTTCTCATCCTTGGCTTTAATCTCCATTGGAGCAGGAGGCATCAGGCCATGTTCCTTGGCATTTGGTGCTGACCAAGTCGACAACAGAGCCAACCCTGCCAAGAACAAGAGGATCCTTGAGACCTTCTTTGGTTGGTACTATGCCTCCACTGCCCTTTCAGTCTTGATTGCTCTCACCGCCATTGTCTACATTCAAGACCACCTAGGATGGCGAGTTGGCTTTGGGGTTCCAGCCATCCTGATGCTCCTCTCAGCCTTGTTCTTCTTTGTTGCTTCCCCATTGTATGTGAAGCATAAAGCTAGCACGAGTTTGCTCACAGGTTTTGCTCGGGTAGCTGTGGTTGCTTACAAGAACAGGAAGCTCCCTTTCCCTTCTGGAAACATTGGTGGATGGTACCATGTGGGCAGAGATTCAAACCTTCTGGCCCCTTCCAAGAAACTAAGGTAACCCATTTAAAAGTGTTCCAACTCTTTCATGTAATAAAAGTTTGTTCAATGCAAGTATAGCATATTCAGAATCCAAGTCAACTCCTAAAAGATTATTCCTTAGGAGTTTATTCTCCCTTACCTTTGACACATTTGTATTGAATTCCAGGTTCTTGAACAAGGCATGCATAGTGATCGACCCAGAAATCGAAATATCCCCAGATGGAACAGCAAAATATCCATGGAACCTATGCACAGTGCAGCAAGTGGAAGAGCTGAAAGCACTCATCAAGGTCTTCCCCATATGGTCTAGTGGAATCATGCTCTCCATAAACACTAGCCAGACTTCATTTCCAGTAATCCAAGCTAGTTCCATGGACAGGCACTTGACTTCAGGGTTCAAAATCCCAGCAGCTTCATACTCCATGTTCTTAGTCGTCACCATAATCATCTGGGTCGTCTTCTACGATCGAGCAATCCTTCCTCTTGCTTCAAAACTACGTGGGAGGCCAGTCAAGCTTAGTACGAAACTCAGGATGGGGCTCGGCCTAGTGGTCTCGTGCCTAAGCATGGTGGTGGCAGCTTCAGTTGAAGGAGCTCGAAGAAAGAAGGCCATAGAGGAAGGCTACTTGAACAACCCTCTAGGTGTGGTGAGCATGTCTGCAATGTGGCTTGTACCTCAGTATGTTTTGCTAGGGCTAGCAGAGTCATTGAACGCGATTGGCCAGATCGAGTTCTACTACTCCGAGTTCCCTAAGACTATGTCGAGCATTGCTTCCTGCCTGTTTGGACTTGGAATGGGGGTGGCGAGCTTGCTGGCGAGTGTTGTGCTGAGTATTGTGAACAGGGTGACTTCAAGAGGCGGGAAGGATGGGTGGATCAATGATAACATAAACCGTGCTCGGTATGATAACTACTACTACCTGCTTGCTGTGATGGGGGCCATAAATTTGGTCTACTTTGGTGTCTGCAGTTGGAGTTATGGAGCTTGTGAGGAGGACATGACAAGGAAAGTTGGGAATAATGAGGAGAACGGGGTTGAAATGGGGAATGGAAGAAGTAATGGTTTGGAAGGTAAAGATCATGAACAAGTGATTAGATGAGCATTTTCGGCTTGAAGATTAAAGCTTAATTGGGAGAAGTTATTTGAGCAAGGTTTGTTCGGTTATCTGTGTTTTTAGCTTTATGGCTTTGTTTGTATGATAATAGTGAAGCATTTATTAACTATGTCCACTGGTGTGCATAGATATATATATATAGATACTAGGGTGATTTTGTAATGCTTTTGGGGCTTCTATGTTCATTTTGTTCCTTTGGTGTTTGGGTTTGGTGGAGTGGCATTTCCAAATGAGTGTACTGTTTGGAGTCTCTTTTCTCCATATCATATATATGAAATGAGATTTCAATTTATACTTTGGTAGCCATAGCAGATATCTTACATAATTCAGACTGAATTAAAGATTTTGATAAAAGAAAGTGTAAGATTGAGATATCTAGAATATCCAGAACACGAGGAAGTGATCCACCACTACAGTAGACAGTAGTTGATGGGATCTTTGTCTTCTGGTCAAGTCTGTTCTTTTACTTTAATTGCTAAACGAGGTTTTAGGAGTTGAAAGTTGCAGCATGGGACTGGACCAGTGTACGGTCCAGGTCATCGAAATCGACTGTTAGAAGGTGACAGGATGTGACATTTTATGAAAAGACACCAACAGATGGATCGCAAACATTTGATCATTAAGTTCCCGTTTGTCTTCTTCCCCCACAATCCACCATGGGAATCAAGAGCCATAATATTCCTTTCACTAGTTCATCAGATGTAAACCACCAAAGCAGCCAACATGGGAAATAATGCCCAAGGAGCTCCTAAATATGCATTAACAAATCCAGAACATTGACAAAGGTGTAACAAAAATATTTCTATATAATCACACTCCATTTCTGAGTCCCAATTCATCTTCTTGAAAGAGAGAGAAGCTGGCAAGCCAAGAAAATGGCTCCAACAATTGCAGTAGGTGACACAATCCCAGATGGCAGGCTCATGTATCTGGACGAGAACGACCAGTTGCAGAGCCTGTCCCTTCATTCCATTGGATCTGGTAAAAAGATGGTCTTGTTTGCAGTCCCTGGAGCTTTCACCCCTGGCTGCAGGTAATCTGCAATCACTACCCTTTTTACCTTAACCAGACTCCTGCTGCTGTATTAGTCGATGGCTGATTTAGTTTTGTAGCTTGAAACATGTGCCAGGATTCATTGAGAAAGCAGAGGAGATCAAGTCCAAAGGCGTCAGTGAAATTCTGTTGCTGAGCGGTAAAAACACAGAAGCCAGCCCTTTGTTAGCAAATGGGTTTCCTTTTCTTTTGATTTGGGCTATAATGGGGTTTTATTTTGGCACAATGATGTTTGTTGTGACAGTGAATGACGCATATGTGATGAAGGCATGGGAGAGAACATACCTGGAGAACAAGCACATTAAGTTCCTGGCTGATGGCTCGGCAGCATACACTCGAGCCCTCGGGCTTGAACTCGATGCGACGGATGCAGGGGCAGGAGTTCGAGCCCGACGGTTCGTATTGTTAGTGGATGATCTCAAGATTCAGGTGGCAAACATTGAAGAAGGTGGAAATGTGACTGCAATTTCTAGTGCTGATGAAATTCTAAAGGCTCTTTGAGATTTATAGAGGGTTTTGTTTGAAATGTTTGTATGTATAATGTATGTTTTCTTTTAATAATAAAGGATGTGACACTGTGATAATAAAGGAAGGATGCACATTATCAATATAAATTACATTTGTCAGTTTGTATTCTTCCATATTTCAGTGAATCAAATTCCTGGTTCCTCACTGCCTATGTTTAGCCCGGGTTTTAAAAGTATATTCCTTTTTAAAGCTAAAGTCTAACCAAACATCTTCAAATAGATTTGGTTTTGTTTGTATATTTTTAATAGTTTTTTAGCCAAACGCTCAACTTTGTTTTACAAAACCTATAATAGTTGAAAAATGTTGCTGAGCCTGAGTTATAGTACGTTGTCAGTGAATGACCCATTTGTGATCAAACATAAAGGTTGGGCAAGGTGTACTCTGAAATCCATGATAGATAAAGTTTATATAATATACATTAACACAAGTGACATAGTTATGCAACCTGCACTCAATCCTGTGGATTGATAACAGTTCATCAAAGTCCATCAGTAATCAAAGCTTACTTGCTTTAGCCACCCATTGTTTCCCTAAGGCAATCAGCTCTCCATTACTTCTCCTCCTGACCTCTATCACCACTGAAACCAGCCTTCCCCTCCCCCCAACAATCTTCGCTTCTATCTCCATCTCTTCCTGTCATTCAAAACTCGCTTTTCTTGATACAAACTTGGGTAGAGGAGGTCAATAACAATGAATTAATGATTGATTGATTGAGTGTTATTAGTGACATTTCAGGGACGGGGTCAGTTGCAAGTCTTAAGGATCAACTAACCTTCAATTGACTGTGAGGGAAAATCAGTTTCCCCAATTTTGGTCATATGACTAACCTTTAAACTTAAGAAGGCGAATCTCTTTACCTGAGCTTTGGCCGTGGAGAGAACAGAGATGGACAATTCAACTGAACCTTTGAGATGGCGGATCAAAGAGTAAACGGCAGTCACACCCACAGCATCAATCAGTGTCGCCATGGCTCCAATCTCCCAATTCCCATCTGGGTCCTGATTAAAATACCACAATCAGGGCAAACTGAACAGGAAAACAAAAGAAGAAACCCAAAAGGAACAGAGGAAGAAGAAGAGAAGACAATTTAAGGAACAGAGAGAGAGAGGAGAACTGAACTGACGGTTATGAGATTGGAGACGACGAAGTGGCAACGAAGGAACCCTTTACGGGACTCCGCGATCCTTATCCCCTTCATGGTCAATCCCTCCAGAGTTTGATACGAGTTGGCACGATCTTCCAACAATTGATTCGACTCGGCCACTCCGCCGTCCCCTGTTTCGCCTCCCATTGTTGTATACAGAAGAACTTCCAATGTTCCCAGGTCTTAATTCTTTGTGGGTTGTTTAATATGATAAAGTCTATTGGAAGCAATTAACAAACTAAGTTCCTTACGAGATTAAATATTGTCCAACTAATTGGCAGCAATCGGCCGCAGACAAAAGCGTCGGCACCCATGAACTCAAAAATGATTTTTGGCCGTTGGATCTTCACTAATGTTTAAATGCATGGATGGGCTGTTGACGGCTCGTAATGAGTTTGACAAAAAACAATAAGTTATTTTTTATGACAACATCGCTCGTATTTAGGGATGGTAAAAAATATCTGTAATCGTGAATATCCGCTCGAATCCGGTCTAATTGGGTAGGGTAAAACCCGAATCCGAATATTACGGGTAATGGGTGGGCATGGGTTTCTCACTATCCAACCCGAACTCGTCCGATTATTGTCCTCATTCTAGTGAATTATTGTCGTACTGTTCCTCTTACGTAATGTAAGAATACGTGTGAATGTTAACATATTGGTTGGAGTTATGAAGAGAAATGATTACCCATGGATAACCGTGGATACCGGAAACCCAAAGGGGTATGTGCATGGTTTTGATTTTCAATCCGTTTCACATGTGGGTATGGGTATGAGTAAAACCCGAACTACTTTGAGTAAGGTAACAGATATGCATTATCCGCCCCCTACCCGACTCATTGTCATCCCTACTCGTATTAACGAGAAACAGACAAATACAAACGTAGAAATAAGGTTGAACCCTACAATCAAAGGGAACAATGAAATGGTCTTTTTCATCAAGTGAACAACCCTATTACATTGACGACCAACAAACAGAGCCTCAAACACTCAAATAAATCTCGAAGGTCGCAAATCTCATGCAGAACTGTCCCACCACGGGCATCATCTAGTTGAGCCACTTAAATCTTCATGAGCACTACCTGAGCATCACCTGCATAAATCATATCATCGAACGAAAAAAAAATTGTGCTCCTGTGGAAGTATTTACTCTTTAAAAAGTATGGATTTCATGTACTAAAAAAAGTTAATCATCAAATCAAAAGAATAATAGATAGTATTATTGGGTTTTCTCCGTTTAAGAATTTCAGCACTCTCCTTAATTTTCGATGGAGGCATTTTTGTTCACAAAAGCATGTTATTTTTTAAAAAATAGTAATTAGTTTATTGAAAATAATAAATATGAAAGAGTACACATAGTTTTCATCTTCCGATATCGATACCCAAGTTTTGCACAAGGTTTCATCTTCATCCGCTTGTCAGTTGTTTATTCTCTTGCTGGGAATGTTTTTGTTTCGCAGATGATAAAATGTGATTTGAGAGAATTTGTTTTAACCTATGAGAATGAGTACAGAAAAAAATCATGAAGTGAGATTGAATATATATGAAAGCATATAACTAATTGTTAAGGTCGTTGCAATGTGACTATTTTTTGCCACTATATCCGTCTTCTTCTTTCAAATTACAAACAAACCCCACAAATCCAATAAATCTTTTACTAAAAATGAAAAGTAATTGAATTAGTGAGGGGCTGCGACAGGCTGAAGGCCACACGTAGACGTAAAGGATTCCTTGCGGGCTAGACACCCCTCCACGCTTGCCTTGTCTTGGCGTGAACCCATCATCTTTTCAAGTGATATTTTTAATCACCGGCTATATCAAAAGTCCAAACTTTAGAGGTCTCTTGTTTGTTGGATTTGACAAATGAAAGTTTTTTATTTTTGGGTTAAAATGAAGGTTTTAAAAAACCAAGGATTTATATGATGGATTTGGTCCATTATAGATTTCAAAAGTTTGTTGTTTGCTTGTAGGATTTATTGATGGATTTTAAGATTATGAATTTATCACTTTAAAGAGTAATTTACCTTAACACCCTTACTTCGTTTTTTTATATATGATGGCAAGACAACTTGGATCATTTCATGTACTAAAACTTGTGTGCGGTTCAAAATTATTTGTCAAATAAAATCGATACTCAATTTATGGCTTGTGAAAAACCCTTTTAACAATCACCGGCTATCATATAACGGAACATTACGATTTAAAATACAATAGTTATAAAAAAGGAATCAACATATACATAACGTTTTAAAACCATCACAAACCTTACAGGGAAAGGAATTGAACCGGCACTCTCTTTTCATCAACTTGAACGGCAAATAATCAACATAACTAGCTTCAGCAACAAGGATAAATTTGGATGCCTAGCCAAACCTCAAGGGTGGTGTGAGATTTACAAGTTCGTAAGACCCACGAATTTGGACAAATAAAGTGATGCGAGCCTCAAGAGCCCAAAAATCATGCCCGTCGAAGCTTGGAGTGGGAGGCGTGTCGCGAAAGCAAGAAGAGGCGATGAAGGCAAAATCTCCGGCCAGTGGTGCCAATTTTTGCCTAAGGATGTCAAGGGTTCACCCGGGGATTCAGACGTGGGGTTTTCTTCGGGGTCAACGGTGTTTTCCCTGCCTGGGGATTTGTAGACCCAACTTGGTGATTGGGGTCTGATGGGTTAAAAATTCCTTGTTGGTTTAGGATTTCTTTTATTTTATGTGTTTGGACGAGTTTGTTGTTTCCCTAGCCTATATAAAAGGCTTAAACACGAGTTTTAGGTCAGACATTGAAGAATATTGAGTTTATTTTGGTTCATTGAGCTTCCGGCTTTTGAATTATTTCTTTGTATCAATCAAGTTTTCCCCTTGATTGTGGTCGAGATTATACTCTTATATTAATAGAGCCTTCCCCCAGTTGTGAGATTGCACTTCAATTTTGTCTTATCCCTATCAGTTATTTGTTAGCTGCGTGACTTTGATAACTACTGGTATCAGTTCCATGTTGTATTAGTAAATACTCCGTTTAATACACGTATATGTACCCGTACATATTTTATCCATTTAAAACTTCCGTAAATGTATTATTGTCAAGCCATTTCATTTTTTCCCGTTTATTTGATGGCTCTCGTACTAAACACATATAACACGTTTAATATCCATATTTAGTGAATTAAATTGTTAACTTTACTACTATTTATATATTTATTTATTTTAAAATAATTAATTTTATATATTTATGAATATTAATGTACTATTAAACGTAACATTCGCTTAGAGACGAAGTAAAATACCCGTACGTATTTTATAAGTAACTTTCTCGTACCGTATTTTACTAACTATACTTTCAAATGGTATCAGAACCTGGTTCAACACAGTGGCGAAAACAAAGTCAAGAGGGCCTGTTGCTTCTTGAACAAGATCCAAAGAACCTATAGCAAGCCGCAACATAAGAGGATTCTTTGTCAGAGGAAGAAATTCCATTCGAAGAGCAAACCATGGAGTCAAGTCTTGCAGATGCGATGCAGCAACTTGTAGCACAGATGGCTCAAATGGGAGCTTTACTTCAAACCCAGCAGGACGCTACCAAAACTCAGCTCGTTGAAACCAATAAGCGTCTGGATACCCTAATCACCAGGTTGGAGACATAACCAAGGCTTCATTCACCAAAGAATCCAGCAGTTGTAGCAACTCAGATTGGGGTCGAGAATCGAGAGAGCCTAGAGCAGAACGAGTTCAAAATTATCAAGCTTTTCTTGAAACCTCAAACTGGCAGATGTAGAGGCGTCAACAAATGGGGCATCATCATCAGCTAATCACCCAGTACATACCTCCATTTAATGATTATGAAGATGATTACCGTGGTTATGGAAACATGAGGCTATGACATTGATTCGATTCGAGGAATCAAATTGGTAATTCCTCCGTTTCAAGGAACCAACAGTGCTTCAGCTTACCTTGATTGGGAGATGAAGATGATCTTGTTCTTTCAGTGCAATCATTACCCAAAGCATCAGAAAGTTATGTTAGCTACCTACGAGTTATAGATTATGCAATAACTTGGTGGGAACAAGTTCAGCTTCGATAAAGCTGGTTGCAGAAAACAATGCTGAGAGTCCCTTGATCAACTCATGTCAGAAAGAGAAAAGCCAACTGTTAGGAACACTGCCCTAGTCATCCAAACCAGACATGAAGGATCGACTGGAAGCATCCAATGCTTCAAATGTCTCGAACGTGGTCACAAGCAAATTAGTGCCCCAACAAGAAGACTCTAGTTCTGCGAGATGGCAAATACTTTTCTGAGGAGGAGGACAAGGAGGAGGAGGAGGAATAGCAACCAATGGAGAAGGGAATCGATTATGACGAGGATGTAGACGAACACATCGCTGCTGAAAGCCCCTAAAATTGGTAAGTTTCTTGTAGTCAATCGTAGACTTCTCTCCCTTGAATCTCTAGCTAAACAAGAATAACGAGATAATTTATTTCATCCCATTTGCATGATGGATGGAAAGTTGTTGTCTGTGGTGATCGATGGTGGTAGCCGCACCAATGTAGTGAGTCTTGATGCAGTTAAGAAGCTGAGACTGAGTACTATTAAGCATCCACAACCTTATTACCTTCACTTGTTGAACGACTATGAAGCCATCAAGGTTAACAAGAAGGCCAAGGTTTGATTTCAGATTGGTGAGTATGTAGATGAAGGCTGGTGTGATGTTGCTCCAATGCAAGCTTATCATCTCTTATTGGGTCGTCCGTGGCAATATGATCGTGGAGTAACCCACGACAGAAGGCTTAGTAATTATCGGTTCAAGCAAGGCGATTGAAAGTTCCTGCTCAACCTATTGTCGCCAGCTAAAGTTCGAGAAGATCGATGACAGATGGAGTTGAATTGGTTAAGAGAGAAGGAAAATGGAAGTGGCACAAATTCGGAGGACGGGAGTGGAACCATCTTTTGGTTCGAAGCCACATGTTGACTGCGCTAAGGAGAATTCCATTTGGAAATTTTGTTGACGTTGTCTCTTGCAGGAAAACACCAGCTTTGAGGGCAACGCTTCTCCAATGGGGAGGGCCTGATGCGAGCCTCAAGAGCCCAAAAACCATGTCCGTCGAAGCTTGGAGAGAGAGGCGTGTCGCGGAAGCAAGAAGGGACGATGAAGGAAAAATCCTCAGCCAGTGGGGCCAATTTCCACCCGGGGATTTCAAGGATTCACTCGGGGATTTGGATAGGGGGTTTTTCCCGGGGTCAGCAACGTTTTCCCCGCATGGGGATTTGAAGACCTGACCTAGTGATCGGGGTCTGACGAGTTAAAACTTTCTTGTTGGTTTATAATTTCTTTCCTTTTATGTGTTTGGATGAGTTTGTTGTTTCCCTAACCTATATAAAGGCTTAAACACGAGTTTTAGGTCAGACATGGAAGAATATTGAGTTTATTTTGGTTCATTGAGATTTAGCCTTGTGAATTCTATCTCTGTATCAATAAGGTTTTTCCCCTTGATTGTGGTTGAGATTTTACCCTTATATTGGTAGAGCGTTATCCCAGGTGTGAGATTGCAGTTCGGTTCCGCCTTATTCCTATTTGTTATATCTGTTCTTAGCTGCATGACTTTGATAACGAGTGTCAGTTCCGTACTCGTATCATAGGAGTCCAAATTCATGGAGCCACAAATTTAGTAGCATCAAGCAAATCCATGGACAAATTCATGATAAGTGGGATTTGGGTATGATCATCCAAATCAAATATGTAGACAAACTCTTTTATCATGAGTTCTCCATATTTGGAGGAGGGTCATAGACTCATAGTTAGAGATGACAATCCAACCCGTAACCATGGGTACCCTACCCGACCGTAACCGGTCAACAAGGGTAATTACCCGCTTTGACGGGTTAAGGGACGGGTACGGATAATACCCGGTTTTAAAATAAAGAGTAGGGTACGAGTATGGTAATCGATAATACCCGCCCTGTTATACCCGCCTCGCTAACCAAATGGTCAATTTCCCTAGCCCTAACCCTACCCAACAGTCGATTTTCCTTGCCCACACACAAGTGAGGTGCTTGCTCAGGCTCTTATTGAAACTTTACTTGCTTGGGATATTGACACAAAGGTATCTACGATTACCTTGGATAATTGTTCTACTAATGATGCCTTGCTGGATGTCATGAAGCATAAGTTAAGCAGTGAGCATTTGATGTGGTCTGGTTCTAATATTGTGTTTGCTGTTTTTGTTTATGTGTGGATTGGGGATGGGATGGGATACTAACTCTATAAGTGGTTAGTACGGTGATAACCATTCCCATCTCCGTCCATTTATTTTTTAGTAAATCCAAAGGTTGTTTGTTGTTAGGGGCATTTTAGGTAAGATTGTACCAGATCCTAGCCTAGGAATAAACGTGTGCGAGTTTTTGGGCGTGGGATATAAACAACCACTCTCCTATTTCTCACTTTCATACTATTTTTTTGTTTTATTTTTCCTTTCCTTTCTGATCTCTTCTCTCTCTCTCTCTCTCTCTCTCTCTCTCTCTCTCTCTCTCTTCCCAAGCGGTTCAACTCTGCAATCGTCGCTCTTTCCATCGCCGTCACCGCGACTCCCACCTACTGTCGCTGCTCTTGGAGTCGAATCTCCTTCCCAGCTCTTTCCATCGCCGTCACCAGGACTCCCACATGCAAGTTTTTAGAGGCAAATCGGCCTTCCTTGTTCTTGCCTTCACCGCTGTCGCCTTCGTCATCCTCGACTTCCACACACCGCCCTCGCCTCCCACCCGCTATAGAGGCGGAAAATAAGCTTCAACTGCTTCCTAGCGTGCATGGCAGTGGAAGCCATTTGTGTAGATCTGTAGTATGTTTTTATTTGTGTAGTGATTTTTAATGGTTTCCGCCTGAAGATCAATATTTCTTTTGTTTGTAATTTCTGGCCGGTCAATTTAGTAGTAATTATTTTCAAGATCTGTAGTATTTATGCTGGACATGAAGTTGTGTTTTTTTTCTCATTGGTAATGATTTTATAACAGGGGAGGAAGCAGTGGAGTAAAATTTTGTCGTGTCCGATGATTTGCAATCTTGGCTTGGTTGCTTAGGGTTAATTGGCATATTTTTTAGTTTATAGGAATTTTGTAGTACTTGTTTTGTAGTAGTTTTTTTTGTAGCAGTAGCAGCGATTCTATGGTACTGATTTTGTAGATACGAGTAATAGGAGCAATGATTCTACGGTAGTGATTTTGGATATTACAACTACGAATTTGATTGTAGTGGTTCTCATTATGTATTAGTTGTGATTTGTGATTTTTGATAGTAATAGTTTGCCTGATTCTACAAATTAATTATCAAAATTACTACTAGTAAATCACAAAATCAATACTACATGCCTTAATTCTACTAATAAACAACTACAAATCTTGAAACAAAAGAATAATGACCTTGGACGCAAGACCAGTACCAACATTTAGTAATATTTTCAGAGGTAGTAATGTTTAATGATATTAGTACAAAAACCACATTTTCATGAATCTAGTAACGATTTACAGAGGTAGTAGTGTTTTCAGTGAATTATAAGATGATAGTGGCAAATGCCCATGTGTAGCTAATTGTAGAGCTAATAATGTTCTCAGATCCGGTTGTTTTCCATAAAAGAGAGAGAGAGAGACATGATTGAAGAAAATGGGGAGAGAGATGTAACTGATGGAATTAAGTTATATTTTTATTTCCCTAAAAAATAGCATTAACTTCCCTATTTTAAATTTTTGTTGTTTCTCTAATTTGCCCTTTGTTAGCATGGTGCTAACCCTCTATGAGGTTAGCACCCAATTTTCTCCCTGTGGATTGTTGAAGCTAGAACAAATATGATGTATTGTGTTTTTGTTTGTGTGGATTGTAGAAGCAAGAACAATTATTATGTGTTTGCTGTTTTTATTTGTGTGGATTGTTGAAACTAGAACAGTTACAAGTATTGAGAATTTTTAATGGACAACATTATGTATGTACATATATGTGTATAAGTTCATATTTTAGGATTCATACCCATGGTTACCCGAATACCCGTGGTTACCCGGTGGGTAGGGTATGGTTATATCAGTTTCATACCCGGTGGTTATTTGGTATTTTAGGATGCTCTACCCGACAGATTAGTAGTTGATATAGGGTAAATCCGCACCCGACCCGACCCGTCCCGATCCGAGCCGTCCCGACCCATTGCCAGTAGTTTTTTTTTTTTGACAAAAGATAATCATATTGATTGATAAAAGATAAGAGAACGTTACATCCTGGAATTAAGCCAGGCCTGGAAATCAAAGAAACGACTAGCAGTCGGATACAAAGTGAGGGCATTTCGAGCCACCAAATGGGCTACCATATTGTTATTCCGACCTACAAATCTAATCGAAAACCCCGGATAAGCAACGAAATACAGAATGACTTCTTCTAGCACAGCACCCATCCGGTTATCCCTGGAATCCGCGTGGTTGATTTTGTCAATGACAAGTTTCGCATCCCCTTCAAAGCCTACTTCCGTAATTCCACGTCCTATGCATCCCATAATCGCCTCTCTCAGGGCCAGCAACTCCACCACCGCGGGGTCCTGCACTCCCGGGAATTGGGTTCCTTGAACAAAGACAACTTCCCTAGCCGAGTTCAAAATTACAAACCCTCCAGCCGAATGCATCCCCCGACTAGTAGCCCCATCCCACTAGCACACAACTGAGCCAGTCGGAACAACACTAGGAACCCGGGGACCGGGACCCGCGCATCGGGGAGTTGCCTCCAGAGGCAGGCAGACCCATTCATCTACTTGCTGTCGAAATTGACGCAGGAGCACTTGAATCCCAAATTGCTTTCCTTCAAAAACAACCCAGTTTCTGGAACGCCAGATCCTCCAAAGCATGGCAACCACTGCCATGACCATAGAAGGGTCACGCACCCGATTAAGTAAATTCTTGAGAAACAACGGGAAAGTATGCCTCGGCAGCCCTTCCCCCAGGAAATCCAAACCCGCATACGTCCACAAGGCTCTTGACACCGGGCAGTCTAAGAATAAATGTTCCATCGTTTCAGACTCTGCCCAGCAAACCGGACATCGAGATAACACCGGAACCTCTTTCTCCCTTAAAGCCTCTGTCGTAGGGAGGATCCTATGGAAGATTTGCCAAACGAAGACTTTGAGCTTTGGCGGAATGTTAGTAGTGAATGGGTAGAAGAGGGGAAAATGCTAAATCCTATTTCTCCAAATTTAGATGCTAGGATTAGATACAGCCCATGACCATTCTTCAAGCCCAATCCATGACTTCCGTTCCGTGTAGCGTTTAAAGAGTTTTTACTGTTTGCGGAGAAAAAAGCAGCAGAAGAAAACCCTAAGCTGACACAAAAACCCTGGTTTCTCTTCTCTCCTCCAATCCGAACAGAAGCCGAGAAAGAAGAAGCAGAGGGCACGTAGTCTTACAATGGCGGGTACTGTTCATGAAGCCACCAAAGCCGTCTCTGATATTGAACTCAATTCTGCTGAAGAAACCATTAGCAAAAAGTACGAACCCCGTTCCCTTCTTCTTACTTCGTCACAGCGTCTCCGAGCTCAAAGTTCAATCCTTTTTTATTTCTCTCAAAATTTTCATTAAATTTTTCTAATTTTTCATTCTCAGAAGCTGAACCTTTTCTGTTTCTTTTCCACTTATGCAGTGCCCGCAAAAAGGAGCTGAAGAATAAGCAGAAGGAGGAGGAGAGGAAGCGCAAAGAGGAAGAGCGAGCCAAGCAGGTTACAATTTCATTGTTTACTTCATTTAGGATTTTCGTGGCTTGTACAGCAAGAAAATTATATCCCTGAATGATTATTTACCGAGTTCAGTTACTTCAGGGAAGAATTTAGGCTATGAATAGTCTACATAGACGAGACTTTGTACTGGTCCAGTTAACATTCCAGCTGCGTCCCTTCACCGGATATCGAATTTTAGCAACATTCTTCTTACATTGTGTTCCAATGAATGCATAAATGACTCTCTGTGCTTCTTCTTGTCCAGGCTGCTGCTAAACCTAGCTCTAAAACACAAAAGCCTGCTGGAGATGATGACGAAATGGACCCCACAGTATTAACATTTCTTCTGCATATGTCGTTCTCATTTCTGTGTATATAGTATATCCGCTCTCTGAACTTAATTTTCTTCTCCTGCAGCAATACTTTGAGAATAGGCTCAAATATCTCGAAGCACAGAAGAGTGAAGCGAAAAATCCTTATCCTCACAAGTTCTTTGTTACTCTTACAATTTCTGAGTATGTAGACAAGTTTGGGAGTCTGAGCAATGGAGAGCATCTTGAAGATGTTTCTGCTTCTTTGGCTGGTTTGTCAACAGCCAAGTTCACAATTTTCTGTTTTTGCTGGATCCACTTTGCTTAATGATCTTGTCTACTTGATTGATTTTGCTAGGCCGGATCATGACTAAACGTTCATCCTCTTCAAAGCTCTTATTCTACGATCTGCATGCTGGTGGTGCAAAGGTTCAAGTTATGGCCGACGCAAGGTTCTGTCCTTTGCGCACTTGGTTTATCTTGCTTTTCTTTTTGTTTGGTTCGGATGTGCTTCTGTTGGTGAGAGTTGTTTTCATCATTTTGTTGTTTTGTTATTGGCAAGGTTATTCATCGGACTGAAATGTTTACACTCTTTGTTTATTTCATTTGTCGTTGCATCATTGTTTATGTCCCCCTTTCTTTGTTGCATATTCAAGAATTAAATCTTTGTTTCAATGGAATTCAGCAAGTCTGGCATGGAGGAAGCTGACTTTTCGAGGTTTCACGCTGCTGTGAAGCGTGGTGATATTGTTGGTGTTACTGGATTTCCAGGTTTGTAAACATTGATATTGTTGAAATTAGTTTCTTTTTTTTTTGTTTTCTGAACTGCTCCTAGATCTGGTCAATTTCTTGTTCTTTTCTTTTGGCTAATGCCCAATCTTGCCTTTTTCTTCTCAGGGAAAACAAAAAGAGGTGAGCTTAGCATATTCCCAAGAGAATTTGTGGTCTTATCTCATTGTCTTCATATGATGCCACGACAGAAAGCCGCGGCTGGCGCTGACAATGCAAATGTCAAGGTAAATGAAGTTCTCATTAGATGGTAATAGTGTTACTGGCTTTGACCCTGGCCAGTTGATATTTTTCTATCTTTTGCAAGCAGAAAGCTGAAGCCTGGCGTCCTGGATTAACTAGGAATCCTGAAACTTATATTTTAAAGGATCAGGTATGCGTCCATCTAGAATACTGCTTTTTAATGTCCTGACAAATTGCTGTAAGTTCTGGCTTCAGTTCTTTTCCTTTATCTGGTTATAGGAAACAAGATATCGTCAGAGATATCTTGATCTCATGGTAAATCCCGAAGTTCCCAACATATTCATGACTAGAACGAAGATAATCAAATATATCAGAAGCTTCCTGGACAACCTTAATTTCTTGGAGGTTGGTTTTGGTTTGTTTCTCTATTATCTTGTGAATTTTTGTTTCTTTTTGTTTTTCTCCCCCCCAATGGTTTCTTGGTATTTGTCCTCAGGTTGAAACACCTAATTTAAACATGATTGCTGGTGGAGCAGCTGCTCGCCCCTTTGTGACTCATCACAATGATCTGAACATGAGGCTGAATATGAGAATAGCACCTGAACTTCCTCTGAAGCAGCTAGTTGTTGGTGGACTTCACCGTGTTTATGAGATTGGAAAACAATTCAGAAATGAGGGCATTGACTTGACACATAATCCCGAGTTCACAACCTGCGAGTTCTACATGGCCTTTGCTGATTATAACGACCTCATGGAGATCACCGAGGACTTGTTAAGTGGTATGAATACGCACAAGTTTTAATTGTCTTGAAGTGTTTGTCCACCTTGATGATGTATTGCACCAATGTCATGTTTTTTCTTCTTCTGCTGGCTTCTTGCTCAGGAATGGTCAAGCAACTTACTGGTGGTTACAAGGTTAAGTATCATGCAAATGGACTTGATAAAGATCCAATAGAAATTGACTTTACTCCCCCTTTCAGGTACTGTAATGTGCATTTACATTCTTTTATATGTTCTTAATGCTGATTTGAAGATGTTAACTATTTTCTCTAATGATTAATAATAACGTGGCTTCAGGAGGATTGACATGATAGAGGAGTTGGAAAAGATGGCCAACCTTAGCATACCAAAGGATTTTGCAAGTGATGAGACTAACAAGTACCTGGCAGCTGCATGCGAGAGATTCGATATCAAATGCCCTCCTCCTCTAACAACAGCTCGTCTGCTGGACAAAGTAAATTCCCCTCTTCTTGGCCTTGCTTGTCACTATATCCTTACTTGCTAGACATCTGTAGTTATGTTAGGCATCTGAGTTGCCATCCTATGGTAGGTTTATGTTGTGTATGATTTATTACTAATGACGCAGTTACTTTCGTTGGACATTGTCTTTTGTTGCTTTATATTGGCACCCCAGTTTGCTGTCCTTTCTTATTCACCTTAGCATGCATTCATCGAATTTCTCTTTTCAATTTTTCTGTCGTATGCAATACAGCTTGTGGGGCACTTCCTGGAAGAGACTTGCACAAATCCCACTTTTATCATCAATCATCCTGAAATCATGAGTCCGCTCGCAAAGTGGCATAGATCCAAACCAGGCTTGACTGAACGTTTTGAATTGTTTATCAACAAGCATGAAGTACAGTCTTGAGAACCTCCTCCTCTTTCTCTCCCAACTGCTGTTTGATTAGTTTGCTTGACGGTTTCTGTTTACTCTAATGATAACTATTGGTTCCCAGCTTTGCAATGCATACACTGAACTAAATGATCCTGTGGTGCAACGACAACGATTTGCTGATCAACTCAAGGTACAGTTTCAGTTTTGCTGGATTAATAAAAAAAATTCTATCTGGAGTTGATCTAAAGTGGGTTGTCCACTTATCAGGATCGACAGTCTGGTGACGACGAAGCAATGGCTTTGGATGAAACGTTTTGCACCGCTCTTGAATATGGTTTGCCTCCAACCGGTGGATGGGGCCTGGGTGTTGACCGACTGACTATGCTGCTAACCGATTCACAGAACATCAAGGTTTGTGCTTTTTACTGAAGTGATTGTCTCCATATTTCTATTTGCCCTTGGCTCAAGGAGCATGCAATGTCTCAGCTCGTAGTGTCGACATTTGGGTCAAATTGGACTGGACCAAATATAGTTTGTGTTGGTCAATTCTTTATATTTTCTTACAAAATAAAGAATTGTTTGGGGATGGGGACTGTACGGAATCAGAGTGAACGTGCTTTTGATTTGACTCACATCCTCTTGTTTTCTTCATAATTTTACCCTGTCTTGTGCTGATTCGGTCCGGGCTCTGCTCGAAGTGCGACTAGCAACTTTACTAATCCACCTCTTGCTCCTTTGGAACAGGAAGTACTTCTCTTCCCAGCTATGAAGCCACAGGATGAACCTCCCACTAAAGGTAGTATTATATATATGTAGCATGACTTTTGCTCTCTGTTCATCTGGTTCGTCATACATACAATCGGAAGCTATTGCATAAAAGATAACTGCTGACGGTTTCATGTTCATCCACTTGTGCTATTTGCATTTGCAGCAGCTGCAGCAGTACCAGCATCTTCATAAGGATTTTGAACCTTGCTGCAAAGCTGATCTTCCACCACATGCTTTACATTGAAGGCCTGATGGTATTGGCTCATTAAATATGATCTTTGGCGTAATTGTATTCTAGCTGTACACTTGCAATTTTTTGCCAGCGGTGGTAAAGGTTTTTGGTAGATGGGATCTCTGAATTTTATTGCTCAAATGACATGATCAATTATATAAAAAACGTGGTCACGAATGACCTGCGGGGCTGTGAGTAGTGATATATGCGCGGATCAGTTTTGAGTAATATATGGGAGTAAAGGCAAAATTTTGATTTAAATTTTATTATGTTATTTCACTATAAAATCTATCAATCTTAAAATCCTACACTATTAATGATTTAAATTCTTAAATTTTTTAAAATCTTACGATTTTTAAGGATTTTAATGTATATATTGAATTGATGAATTTGGACCAAATCAAATAGTCAAATGAATAAGATGAAATATTTGTTTAAGTTAATATATTTTTTTATTCTTCTCTATCGACATCATCTAGTCCTTTCTTACTGAATTAAAGATTCATTTGTTATCATGTAAAAAAGTTGCCAAAATCTATCCTTTGATTGACATATAACCAAGGAGATATTAGGACATCACACTGGCACTGATAAACAATAATAATTTGTATATCAAAGTACTTGTAATTATTTATCTTCCTATTGCAATTTGTTGTTTTGAGTAACTACTCTATAAGTTTAGAGGCAAATTAGTTGGGTTGCTTTTGTGTTGAATTGAAACAATAATCTTGAGAAATTATCATTATGTGTCTTTGTGATATTCATGGTTTACCTTATTAATATTATTCGGTGTTTATTTCTATATAAACTTTAAAATTTTACGGTTTTATGATTATGATTTTACCCAAAATTTTCATTTTATGTAAAATCCCGATTTTGACTGCTTTGCGCATACGGGACGAGGCAAGTTGATCCATCCTTAAGTTTTACTAGTTTCTTACACTGCTAGTTGGCCGAATGAGTTGTACCTTACAGGTGGGCATGTAGGTGGCTAATGCGCGGTGATATCGATTCACCCGCAAATAACCCAAATTGCAGTGGATTGATGATTGATGTGGGTGGATCGTAGATACTTTTACTTTACCCGCACTTATTTGTGTGGGGGTTGCATGTCACTCAAATAAACCCACATCCCACTTTCACATGGAAAAGAGATGTTTCTTGTTTATTTCTACATCTACATCTCTACACATATTATAATACACCGAAGGGAAAAACGGGAGCCCCATTTCAAATTTTCTGCAACGAGAGTGAAAGTAGGAAGGACATTTTGGTCTTCACAATTACTTTTTTTTATTCATTAAAAAGACACGTACTGGGATTCGAACCATGACCATTTTAAAGAAAACAAGGATCGTAACCAATCACACTAAGTACATTTGTTGTATCTTTTTAAATAAAAAACATATAATAGCAGGGAGGAAAAAACTCTTCCCCCATTTCAAATTTCCTGCTCCAGGAACGTTTGTAGGAAGGGTAGAATAGGGAGTGTTAATTTTTTTCTCTTTCCTCTGTGGAACTGGCCAACTTACCGTACACATGCGGATTTAAACGGGTCCAGGAGCAGGGGCGGACCCAGGGAGGTTTAGGGGTGTCCCCGGACACCCCTAAATTTTGGGAAAACGATTATCCAACCCCCAGTAGTAATTTACGTATGGACAAAAAAAATATAATTGATAGTGAGGGACACCCCTTAAATTTGAAAAAATGATTATCCTTCTGTCATTTGTGTATAGGAATATAAGTGGAAGGTTGGATAATTCAAATCTAGAACACTATTATTATTAATAAACTTAATTTCCATTTAGCTAAACTCATTTGTTGTTCGATTTTGAACAATGTGAGTAAAATGGCATTCCCTATCTCTAATTATTTTAAAAATCTAACAATTAAACTAATTTCAAACTACCCTTAATTTGTATTGATTTTTTGATTGTATGACAATTGACAAGTGTTGAAAGAGTCTTTCAGCTTTGGGTTACATCAAGAAAAAGTTTACAAATCGAATATGCGATAAGTTCGTGAATGATTGTCTAGTAGTATATATAGAGACAATTTTTTAACACTATAGACACCAAGTGTATTCTACAATTATTTCCGAATATAAAAACATATCATGAACTTTTTTAACCTATACGAGTAAGGTATTTTTCATATTTACAATTTTATTTTTATGAATTATTTTTATTTAATTTATTTTTTAAAAGAGGACACCCCTATGAAAATTTTCTGGGTCCGCCACTGTCCAGGAGTATCAATTTTTTTTGCTTTAAACTCTTTTATTTCTCCGTGGTGATAAAATATATATGAAAAGGCAAAAACAATACTCCTTTTTATTGCTAAAAATAAAAAATCTAACAATAAACTAATGCATGGTATCCGATGGGCTAACCGCTAACCATAAAATAAAAGAGTTGAATGGGTCTGACCTACACGGGATTTGGCCATCAAGTAAAATAAATGAACATCATTGGTTTGCCATTCTAAAACAGTTTGTAGGAAGGGTAGAATAGGGAGTGTCAATTTTTTTCTCTTTTCTCTGTGGAACGGGCCAACTTACCGTACACATGCGGATTTAAACGGGTCCAGGAGTGTCAATTTTTTTTCTTTAACCTATTTTATTTCTCCGTGGTTATGAAATATATATGAAAAGGTAAAAACAATACTCCTTTTTATTGCTAAAAAAAAAAATTTAACAATGAACTAATGCATGGTATCTAATGGGCTAACCGCTAACCTTAAAATAAAAGAGTTGAATGGGCCTGACCTACACGGGATTTGGCCATCAAGTAAAACAAATGAACATCATTGGTTTGTCATTCTAAAACAAGCTATTTTCTCTGGCATAACATATATTATGCTATTATTTTATATCTTAGGGCTAAAATATAATGTATTTTAAAGTTATTCAATGGTTCAACCTCGACCAACCCAATTAGTCCAATTTTTATGATTTCAAATATATATTATATAATTATTTGATATCATAATGATCAAATTATAGTGTATTTGACAGGAATCGTTTGGTATTTGTTAGTGAAAAACTAAGCAGAAAGATCTATTTGGTTATTTTAAACATTAAAACGATCCTAAACATTTTCAGTTCCTTTTGAATTTCTATGGTTTTATTCCCGAATAAGTGATGTGCAAATGGCGAATTGCAGTCATCTCTTTTCTTTCACTATTTTTTATTTTCAAATAGAAAGTTTAAAAGTAAAGAATAATTAGAATTTGGCATGGGTCGGTCAAACAGGCTGAATTTCAAGTTTTGGCCCGTTTTGATCAAGTCTAATTTATAATCATATGGTTCCCTGATACTCGATAAAAATCTCAATCCAAACCAGTTTGGCAAGTGAGTCCGTGTTTACCACCATTTTCTAGGGATACGACAACGGCGGTTCCTATCCCAAATCGTGTTGTTCGTTCTTGATTTTCTTAGATTTTATCATGGCCTGACAAAAACCAGAAAGCACAATGACGACAAGATGAAAGTTTTATAAAGCAAATTAATCGGCCAACGGGCCGAGTAAACGCTAGCAACGATTGTGAGATGCTCATTTCCCGAAAATCGGCGAGATAGGCGATTTTTTATTCGATTTTCTGGAATTCAGTTTCTATAAAACTTATTCCACCTCATCATATTACCAGAAACAATATTGTTTCACAAGGTAACAGGTACTTGATTTTGGTTCATAAGGCCGAATTTTGATTCGTTGCATCATTCATGTCTCTTTCCTGCTAAAATTCATAACTATGTTGTAGTGATTGGTCCACAAAGATAAGAATGGACAAGCTCAAGCTCAAGCGAGCTTTAGCTCGTGATAGGGATTCCTTCTAGAGGTGTCAATCGGGCGGGTTCGGGCGGGTTTAGGCTGGGTTGAATCGGGTTGCGGGTTAGTCGAGTTCATTGGGTTTCGGGTTACTCGAGTTAGGGTGTATTGGGTTACGGGTTACGGGTCAATCGGGTTACGAGTCAATCGGGTATCAGGTTAATCGGGTTACGGGTCAATCGGGTCACGGGTCAATCGGGTTACGAGTTGATAGGGTTACGAGTCGAGCGGGTTTGGTTTCGGATTGTTCGAGTTAGCGCATCTAGTTACTTCTTCGTTCTTACTTGTAAGTTGTAGCTACAACTTGCGCATTTTATTAAATTAACTTAAAATATTTTTTCACAATTTTTAGTCAATTTCTTTCTACATTATGAAATAAAGAAACTTGTGAATCAATTTGTATGACTTGCAAACTTATCATGTAATTAATTATTACATTGTTATGGTGATATCAATATTTTTAATTTTTTGTACAATAGTCTTTTATCTAAGTATACAACTACAAATTAAAGAGTGTATCATAAAAACATATAAATACAAAATCACAACCAAAATTTACCTAAAATAACCACCAATCTGCCTCAAATGCTCGTCTCCTCACCGGGAGTGGGTTAAGCTTATGGTGAGTAACCATGAGTAATCCGTCCACATCAGCATGACATCAACACCCCTCTCTCTCATGGAAAGCCTTTTATCTTTCTGCCTTTTATCTTTAACGGACGATTTCTCTCTCGTTTTAAGTCGAAATTTAAATTTTTTTGCAAAGATAAATCAGAATAATTGTGTTCTTTAAAATGATATCCACTTTTATATATTTTTAGAACAAAAAAATTGAGTCATTTTTTACCAGTCAATACCATATGTTATGCTCCTATTTAGTACCATATGGTAAGAAAGCGTACTATGATGGTATGAACATACCAATATTGTAGGAAGGTTGAATACATTATACTAGGAGTATACTAACTGTCATTTACGAATTTTATCAATGTTTACCACAAATTACCACCCACATACAAAAGTGGTAAAATATGGTAATTTTTTATTTGTATTTTTTTTATCCAGAAATTTGTAGATATAATAGATCATGATGAACTCGTTCCTTCTGAGCAAACGTTTTCAAAATGACTTAAAAACGAAGAAGTTAATATATGGCATGTAGTTGGTAATGGGAGGTATGAAAAAAAGTTTCTCGAAATATATTGAAAATTGATATTATTTTGTAAAGCACAACGAACTCGTTCCATCTGTGTAATTTTTTTCGAAGTTTTGGGGGGAAGCGTGTCGGGCGTTCAACAAGACAAAAACCCGGTGGCATTACGATTGTTGGACATTAAAATAGTTTTGGAGTTTTTTATTTTATTTTATTTATTTATTATATGGTAAAAATAAGTTGGACATTAAAATAGAATAAATTTTATTTTCTTTATT